CACTTATAGAATCAGATGGTGACTACACAATGTATTAATTTTAGTTAGTTGGTTATGTATTTTTTAAATAAAAAAAATTTTTTTGAATTTACTTGTAGCCGGAGTTAGAGGCGATCGGATACTTATGACCGCTACTTACTGTATTAGTTAATAAATAATATAAAATATGACAACTAAAAATATAAATTATAATTATAAATAAAAATACTAATAGCTGAACATAGCTTTTCATTTCATAAATTGTCATAGCTAATATTGTTGTCTTTTAGCTTTTAAAGTTAATTTGCGTAATATTCATCATCATCTAATTTTATTTTTAGGCGTGCTTTGAGTTTATCATCTGTTAGTTGTTTGTGTTTATGAAATAACTCATAGGACAATTTTCGAATTGCTTCCTATAATATAAATTAAGTTGATAATTAAAATAAAAATAGAGTAAACAAAAGAAATATTAATAAAACATATGTATATTTATTTGATAAAACTCGCTTCTATTTTTCTTTCCTTTATCTTTACCATTATTTTTAACGATTCCAACCTTTGCATTGACTTGTTGCTTCTCAAATCTTAAAAAAATCTCATCAATTTTATTTTTTTACTTAATAAGCATTGCCTCTAAATCCTCTTGACTTCTTAAAATTTGGTCAAGCTTCATACTATTTTTTTGGCAGAAATGCAATACCTTATCTAAAGTACGCAAATCAATAATAGCTAATTATAATAAATATATATATATTAATAAACATTATATAATAAATATGTTTATAGTATGTAATATAAACTCAAACCTTCAGCACTTTTTTTGCTCTGCAATAATAATGATAATAAAACATCGATTGATGATATTTTCATTTGTAATGCTGAAATGCTAGCCAATGGCATTTCCGTTAGCAATATAAAAATATAATAAATATATTAAATTCAATTTAATATAACAATAAGAGTATCAAATAAAACAATAAAACTTACCGTTATTGATTTATGAGGTATTAAATTTTTGATAGTATTGATGGTAATGTTAGACGTGATAGTAGTGTTAGGCTTGATATTAGGCTTCTTAGTGATAACAGTGGGTTTGGTGGATATGAAGATGATGGTAGGTTTAGTAGGTATAGAAACAGTGATAGGTTTAGCAAATATGAAAATGGTAGTAGGTTTGGCGGATGTGAAGATGATGGTAGGTTTGGTAAGTATAAAAATAGTGGTAGGTTTGGCAGATATAAAAATAGTGGTAAGTTTGGTAGGTATAAAAATGGTGGTAGGTTTGGCAAATATAGAAATGGTAGTAGGTTTGTTAGATATAGAGATGGTAGTAGGTTCATCAATAACAAGAGACGTCAATTTATTATTAAAAAATAAAAGGATTGGCAATCCTAGTTCAGTTGGCAACAACTGAGCTCCTATTGTAGGTTACACTGCAATAGCCACAGGTTTAAGTCTCAGCCAAGGCATAAAACTAGATGATTTCGTAAGAATTTCATATGTAACTGAATATGTGGGCGTATATACTAATATGTGTTAGAAACTGGTTGATCGATCTGTCAATCAGCGTTAATCATGCCTAAATACTGAAATTGCAGAACAAGTGAATGCAAATGAAGCTAGGAATTGACAGAAACTTAGCCTTCGCTAATAGGCCTGTAATGAGTATGTTCTCACATCTTCAATTTCAGGGGCCCTTACACAAGTAAGGAAGTAATTAACCAGTAATTAGTAGATTGGGTACTACCTACAGGTGGCTATAGTGATAATAGACTGCATTGCACTGCCGCAGCACTATCCAATCAAGCTGTTACTAGGGGTGGAGGTTGGGTTCAATTTCTGGGTAAATTTGACAATATGGATACGACAGCCACCTACCTTTCTGAGGTTCTATAAGATAAACAATCTAAGCCTTCCTGATCATATGTAAAATACTCTGATACTGGGCAGAGGTAATAGTGATCCAGATATAGTATTGGTAAGCATAGGGAAAATTTGACAAAAGTACCTGTGGCTGAAAGTGATCCCTCTATCCAATTTTGACAGTGGTTTTGAGGTCTAGAGACCCTGAGGGCTAGCTCTTGAGGAGTTGACCTAGGTGGCAATCTTCAAACCAGTATTACAGGACGGGTTTTGGCTAGAATGAATGTGTCTAGTCACAATTTAGAGGGAAACTTAGGATAAGTTGAGGGTTACACCTCAATAGTACTATCTGTTTAACGATTTCTTTGTACTAGGTACTGAAACTTTAAAAAAAAAAAAAATATTATTAAAAAACAAATTGATATTTTTGATACAGGCCTTTTTTAATATTAGTAGAGTTACTTTCATGTTATCTTCAGATGCTTATTATTATTGGTATATATTAATTAGTGTATTTGTTAAAGATTGAATAAAATAAAGTAAAATTATCTTATACCATCTTCTAATATTTAGAGAATTATAGTAAATAAATATTAATAAAATTAAATAAATATATATAACATAAATAATAAAAATAATACAAATACAATTATATTTTTATTCAAATGTTTTAATTTTCTAACTAGCAGATATTTTAAAGAGAATGTATCGAGAGTAAAATTGTCTTGGCTGATGCTCATTTTTGGATGATTACTTGAAAATTTGATTTTTTTTCTAGTAAAAGGATGATGCATAGAATAAGTTATTCATTCTTGTTTTATGTATTTTTTATTAATTTTAAAAACGTAATATATTATTATAAAATAACGTCATTGATAAGCACATCAATTTTATTTAAAAATATTATACCTCTGTATAACTTTTATTATGGATTTGAAAAAAAAATTATCTACCTTGATTTATCCATTTCGTTTAATACTCAGAATCAATTAATATGACATAATTTAACCTTAACTACAGGAAATATCATACTAGTTCATTACGATGCTGTACTGGTTAAATGTAATGCAAATAATAATACATTGGTCCTATTTGTAGGATCGTTCAAAAAAAAAATTCAAGTTTTTGGTTATTGATAAACACTTAAATTTTATTATAAAAATTAGAAATTGCGTTAGTTATCATAAAATTAAAAATTGCATTAATAAACACAAAATTAAAAAATTGATATATTAATTTGTTTATACTTACTACTATAGAAATCATATTTTATATTATAATGCATTATAAATCAAATCGTATTTTTAGTAAAATTATGATTTTATATTCTATTATTATTTAATACCATTTTATAATTTTTGAATAATCTATTATTTATTTGACGTCATCTCTACTATTGTTACTATATATAACTAATTAAATAAAAAAAAATTAAAAATTTGAAAATTTTATTCCTTTTTAATATTGAATAAGATATTTTACTTTTAAATATATTATTATATTAAAATATTTACAAAAATGCAACACATATGTTCATATTGCAGAAGAACTTTTTCTTGTCACTCTTTTTTGAGAAATCACATTAAAATTCATGATGGTATAATCGATAAAATTCTAAAAGAAATCGTTGAAGAAGATATATAACAAACAAGTGAAGAAGAAATACGAAATAACTTAATAGAAAATGATAATAATAATATGATAGACTACGAAGATCAAGAGATTATTAATGTTAAAAAAAAAGAGAAGAGGAGGGAAAAGAAGAGTTGCTTAATTATAATGAAGAGTTGATTAATGTTGAAGAAGAGAATGAAGCTAATATGAAAGAATATATAGAAGAAGAAGAGTTAGTTAATCCCAATAAAGACATTGAAGAAGGGAAAAAAGAAGAGTTAATTAACAATGTTCAAGTAAGATTTTCATTAATTAAACTATTGTATATATATAACAATAATATATCAGTAGTACAAAAAGTTTGATGATCAATGTTATTTATTTAAATTAACTATTTAAATTTATATTTAATATAAAGCATATATTAATTAATGTTGAACCTACACCAGTCTTTGAGTCTCTCCATATTAGTGGTTTAATAATGGATAGGCCCAAATTATTAAGTGAAGAGTTTGGGAATTTTATGACATTATTTGTAAAGTGAAATTTATCTGATACATGTAGTAGTGATATACTTAAATTTTCACGTAAAATTTGCTGTGATGACGTAAGATTACCAACTTCTGTAAAGGTAGGCCATTAATTAATAAATCAAATAAATATATCACATATTTCATTTAATAAGATACCTATCATGATATATAATGAAATAATATATTACCTTTATTATTATCAAATTTTTGACACTGTAAAGGAACTGTTAAGCAATCAGAAAATATATAGCAATTATACCTTTAAATTTACACTATTGTATCATAACAGATAGAGAGTTTACCATAAGTAATATAATAGTGAGTGATGGGAAAGAATACAAGGATTGCTTCCTAAAAAAACAAAGGTTTTATCTATTATCTTGTATTCTGATGTAACAACTTGTGACTAGTGATGTACATTTTTGATGTTTTAGAGATTTATTGTCCTAGTTATATATCCCAGCTATATATTTCAACCTGTTCCACACTATGTCCCAAATGTCCTATCTGTCCCATTTATGTCCCATCAGCATCCTATCAGTGTCCCATCAATGTCTCATGACAATACTGCTTGTGATTATTTGGGCAAGTCTAGTGAGCATCTAATTTATTTGACGTTAGGTAACATAATTAGTTAGCGTAGAATAAACCTAATGCCAAAGTTCTACTAGGTTATCTTCCAATTTTGAAAGCAAAATCTATCTCCCAAAAAAGATTTAAAGGTTTCAAATTAGCAAAATGTACCCTTTATCAATACACTCTAAATATATTAATACGTCTGTTACTTGATTATAAAGACAATGGATTTGATCTTTAAACAGATAATGATATACTATGATGTTATCCATTTATTTCTGTAATGTTAGAAGATCTTCCAGAAAATGCTGCAATGACTTTGATATTTAATTCAGTTAATTGTAAACATCTATATCACAAATGTTTAGTGAAAGGTGATAATTTAAACAATGTGAAATTATCAGATGACCAAATTGTTTTGAGGATACCGGACACAATGAAAGATTTTGTTGAACAGGATATTGTATAACAATATTCTTTGTATAATATAAAGAATATTTTTTGGAAATACCTGTAAGTATAATTGTATTATATTAAAATGCAGTAAATTACATGTTAAGTTATATAATATATTTTAACGCATTATTCTTTGCTTAGTCAATTAAATATTTATGCAGCAATGATTTCTGACCATAAGCATCACCTTGATTTAGGATTGTTTAACTACCAAGTGATTTACACTAGAGAACTGTTAAAAGAATTGTGTGATTAAATAGCAGTTGATGAACTTGATAATTGATTAGCTAGAATTCCAAGATTCCCCAGCCTCAAAATATTTAGAAATGGTCTTGAAAACATTAAGTAGTTTATAGCTGATGAGTTTCATAATATGATGAAGGTATTTATTTTTGTTATTGAAAAGATCATCATAAAACATCACAAAGAAATAATAACTGCTAATTATGCCAAACGAGTAGATGAAGCATTAGTTGATGTATATTACTGTTAGAATAAAATGTATTTATACAGCTGTTGAGAGTATTTTTTAGAATCAGAACTAGGCAATTTTAATGTATAGTGATTTAGTATTTATATTTTACATATTATATTCAAGATTAACATTTTATTTTATTATAGAATCTAATTACAAATTAAGCAATATTATTTGTAAAGTTCTTTCAAAATATTCACCATTAAAACTTAAATTGCCAAAATTACATAATTGGCATTATCATATTATTTTATCAATCAAAGGATATAGTGCTATTAACGGGTTTACAATGGAGACATATGAAATTTTATATAAAGATGCTGTTAAAAAACCCTATAGAGTTAGTAATAAGCGCCAACTAATAGACTAAATGATCAAAAAGGTTAGTTTAATGCATGATGTATAATTAATATGTAAACAATTTGACATTCTCTTCTATATGTAGATTTATCAGAATGTAACTTTAAAATATTTGTACTACTATATAGTTATTAAGCAACATCAATAAAAAACTACAATGAATGGCTTGTTGGACTCTTTTTTTAAAAGATTTTGATATATTTTTTAATGATTATAAATCTAAAAATATTTTTGCTAGTGAAGCTTTATTGGTCTTAAAACATTTTATTCTAACATTAAACGAGTTTTTTGATTTATATAATAATCTATATGAAGAAATGGTTAGAGAAACTAAAATCAGATGGTATAGTTATGCTAATATTTTTTCAAATGGTAATTGTATTAGAGCAAATAGCATGTATTATAATGAGCCATTATTTAGTGATATATCGATTAATATAAGTGAGGAGGAATCTGAAGACTATAATACATATGAAGGTGCTTGTTTTGGTAAGGTATAC